TAATAGACTAACTCCTGGCGGGGTGGATTTTAGCAAAGGATTAGCAAAGAAGACAATGTAGGACTGTACACTGGTTCCAGGCACAGGCCCTGGATGGTTTTGCCACTTGTTACCTGTGGCCTTGGGCTAGCCCTGCACCAACCTATCCCTAAGCCTCAGTTTCCTCATCTGTAATTTGGAAATGATAATAGGATCTACTTCAGGGGCTTGCTGTGAGGACTACATAAAACAATCCACAGTAAATGTCTGATATAATTTTTAATAAGCATAAAACACTAAGTACAATGCCTGACACAAAGCAGGTATTTAATAAGCAGTAATTAATATTATATAAGTTATAAATAGGACAATATAATAAGTGTATACATATTCTAAAGAAGGTTGGATAAAGTTCAGAAAACAACCCATGATTTGGAGTCTCTGAAACAAAGAGCTCTCACTGTAATAGATCTTGGGACAGGGGCTTATGCAAGCTATTATCAACAAAGGTCCTTCTATGGAATCTCTCAGTGCCCCCGTTCACGTCAGCTAGCTGGTGTCCATAGCACCACTGTGCATGTAAACAGAACCTACATCTCCAAGGATGGCAGCTCATAACAATAGTGGCATCTATTCTCCTTGGTGTCTTTCCCTAAGGTTTCTTTACTGCTGGTGTCAAAACTGCAAAGGAATATACAGGACTTACACAGTTGAAAGAGGACCATACAAGTCCATAAATATTTACTGACTATCTACTATGAGCCAGGAACCATCCCTCTCTTTCATGTGGCAACTTCAACAGTGACTCCATAAACCTGATTTTGCTATTCTAAAATAAACTTTCACCTTATCTATTAAGTTCACAGAGCTAACATTTGTGAATTTTCCTTTGAGAGGCAAATTTAACTTTGTAGACACGATTGGATTAGACCTGACCAGCGTGGATAGAACTGAAAAGAGAAGCATCAGAGAGTTGGCGTGGTTCACCTGGGGCTGAGAGAGTGGGCAAGAGAAGCTGAGTCTATATATGGCAAGATCCTGTCATATTCAGACAGAAGCGCAAGCTTCTTGGCGTGGCCTCCAACATCCTCCGTGATCTGGCTCCTTCTTCCTCTCTCCTGCTCTCCCACATGCTCCCTCCCTATGCTGCCATCGTCCCATTCTGCATACAAAAGCTGATCCATGCTCCCTGTCTTTGTTCCCACTCTGTGTGGAATGGCCTTTACCCATTCAGCGCCCAGATTGGACTGCCACTGTGTGCACGTCTGTCCCTCACACTGGGAGCTGCTGGAGGGCAGGGAGTGAATCCCATTCACATCCACATCTATAACTCCACCCCAGAGTCTGCAGATAGAGATCCAGTAAGAAACAGTAAGAGCCCAGAACTGAAGACTGGTTTCAAACAGAGTCTGTTTCAAATGCTAGCTCCACCATTTACCAGCCGTATGACCTTGGAGAAGTTAACCTCTGTGTACTTCAATTTCCTCTTCCGTAAAATGGAGACAATGAGGCACTTTACTGGGTTGTGGGAAAATCAAATCACTGTAGCTACATACACGGGGTAAGAGTTATGTAAGGGTTCATCACAGCTGTTGACATTCACAATCATTGTTGTTAAATGTATACGTAATAAAGAAAAGTGAAGGAGGAAGAGAGACCGTGACCTGTAACCGAGCAAATGTTAAATTCACACGCTGGCTACATGCTGCCCTGCTCAATGGACCCTGTGGTGTGGCCCCTCACCATACACTCACAAAGGAAACACTTTTACCCTGGTTGGTGTTCATGACCTTATTTCCTACCTGGGCTACCCACCCACCTCTGCCAAAGCCAGCCGGATACTCCCAAATCCTGCGGCAACAGCACAGCATGGCGTAGAAGGGACCCCACTCGATCCCTGTGTCCCAGCTCCCCGTGGAGATATGCCTGCTCCTAGAACATCAGTGCTGGACGTTACAGACGATCTTGTCCAACGTCACCCCTGTAACAGATGGGGAAACTGAGGCCTCAAGAGGTAGTATCTGCACTTTGTACCTGCTTTACATAAGTTACTTGTCATGCAATCAACTTTTAGAGTAGGTACTAAAAATACCATAATCATAGCTTAAAGCTGGAAGGAACTTAAAGTTTACCCACTCCAGTACTTTTGGAACTCCACATTCTAGGGCATCAAGATGAAGTGTGAGCTCTGTAGCAAGTATCATCATTTGGTGAATATGTGCCCCAAGTCAAACACCACTCCCGCCCTCACAGGAGGACCAGGACCTCACAGACTCATAGTGAAGAGTGACATTAAGTGAATAATCACACATCTAATAGTAAAGTCCTGTTGAGGTGAGTGAATTTGTTTTAAAATATACCGGAAGGAGCAACTCCACTTGCATGCCAATATGCTTTCCGACCGAGAAGTAAAAGGCAGGACTGGGGTGGAGTGGGCAGTTACAGGTAATGCCTGGAAACTGCCCCCTATACTTGGTTCACCAGTGCAAGGGCCTCGTGTAGACTAACATTACCATTATGTGGCTGCCACGGGAGAACCATTAAACTAGCTAGCCCAGTCTACCCCCATTTGATAGACAGGCAGACGAAGAAGCCTAAAGAGTTTAACTCACTTGCCAAACGAGCAGAGTCGATACATGGAAGAACCTTAAACTCTTTTAGTGGCTCACTCAGCCTCCCAAAAACAAGTCCACATCCCCCATCTGACCCCTGCTCATTTCTCTAGCCTCCCCTCACCACCATCCTGCCGCCCACTCATATCCAGCCATACTGAACTACATGCAAAGCCCCAAAGGTACCTCTGCTATGCCCATACTACGCCCTCTACCAGAGATCCAAAGTCGACAGCCCCTAAATAACTCCCACTCCTCTTCAACACTCAGAACCCGGCTTATACCTCTCTCCTCCAGGAAACTCTTCTTGAGATGGCCTTCCTCTTCTCTCCCAGCACTTACACCTTTACATAGGGACAGCGAGACACACATCACATAATGTGTTCATCCATTTAACAAGTATTTATTGAACACCTTCTATGTACCAAGAACCTGAGGATACAGCAGTAAATAAAACAAAGCCCTTGCCCTCGTGGAGCTTACATTCTAATGAGGGAAACAGGTAATAAACAAACAATACATAATATAGTGTCCAGTAGAGTTTAGTGCTATAAAAAAGATAATAAAGAAGAGCAAGGGTTGGAGGAGGGATCAGAGGGGAAGGCTTCTCTGAGGAGGTGGCATTTGCTCAAAGAGCAAAAGTGACAGAGTGAGCCATGCAAATAACTGGGAAAAGAGCATTTCAGGAAGCAGCAGCAAAGATCCTATAATCACTGCAATGATTTTTTTTTTTTTTATTTGTGTTTTTTCCCTACTGAACTATAAGGTCCTTGAGGGCAGAAGTTACATCTTAAGCGTCTTTGATTCCCAGGGTCCAGCATCCACAGCAAACACAGACTGAGTGCATGAACCTGGCATGCATGCCTGCTGGTTTCTGAGTCCTTCTGGCTCCATCTCTCAAGATCTAGTCAGCTTTGTGTCTCTCTCTCCCACGGGGCTAAACTAAGCACAGGCCCTCCTTGGGCCAGTCAGCCTCTCCTGGTTCTGGGCCTGGTTCCAGTCCCTGGATTCTCATTAGGACCATGGCACTGACAAGTTCTCCAATTCTATGATGTTCTGGCCCAGACCTGGGACCCTGCCCAGAACTGGGAGCCCTCCTTCCAGGTATCCTAGGCATGGAAGTCCTCCTCTGAATCCCAAGCCCCAAGCCTGGGGACCCTGACACCCAGGGAATGGGGAATGGGGAGTGACACTTCCCCAGTGGCTAACCCCTACCTACCTGGAAGTCTGCCCTGCCTGATTCTTGACTTCCCTCCAAACTACATGACTCCTTCCTGTTGGGACATCAACCTTCTGACCTCATCAATTCTTTCTGTGGCCATCTCTCTGTGTGTTCCAACTTCATAAAACCGTTCCTGAATGTCTGTCATAGCCAAAGCACAGAGCTAAGTACCTGAATCTTCAGGTTGCCTGTTGTGGATTCCTGTTCCATCAGCAGACCATCTGAGTCTAAGTCTCCAGACCTGACTCCCCTAAATCACAACCCCATCACTCCTGGAACCCTGTTAAATAGCCTTAGAAGCTGCAAAAAAAAGTCAAATGGCTTTATCCAGTCAGCCAACTGCAACAGGCACCCCTCTGTGTCACTGGTGCTGCATCCCTGCCCCCGCCAGGTCTAAAATGGGTTCAGGGATGAATAACCCATTCCTTCACTCACCCTTGCATCCACCACTTACTGACACGCACCATATGCCAAGTCCTAGAATGTAAAATACAGTTCCTGCCCTGATGATGATGATGGTGGTGGTGACAGTGATGGAGGAGGAGAGAGAGGTGAGGGTGGGAGGATGAGTTACCATTTATGGCACACTTGTGCTATGCTACAATAAGCCGTGAGTCTTCTAATACTAATACGAGACAGGTATTATTAGCTTCACTTCACTTCATTAGCTTCCTTCACTTTCAAAGGAAACAGGCTTAAGAGGTGAAGCAACTTGCTCAAAGTCACACAGCTAAGTGGCAGGGTGTGGTGAGACCCTAAGTCTGTCTGCCTCCAAAGTACCAACTGTTCAACTGCCACACAATAAGTGCTGAACGAAGAGAACTTGAATGAAGAAGTGAAAGAGAGGGTCCCGGGCCCCGAGGACCCAAAGCTGGTGGAGGAGACAGACATAAAAGCTAAGATCTACGTAGGGGAGCGCTGGTATCTACAGCAGGTGAGCGCTGAGGGCTAGAAGCCAGAGCCGTAGTGTAGGGGAGCCCGGGGAAGGAGCTGGCTAACCTGACCCGAAGCGGGCTGAAAGTCTTCTGGAGGAAGTGACTTTGGGGGCTAGGCCTTGAAGGATGAGCACTTGGAGCGTGGCGCTCGGCAGGAGCTCAGCCCTCAGCCCTGGCCTGGGCCGCGCCGGGTCCTCTGAGGTCGAACTGTCCACCCTCCCGCCGTGCCCACGCGGCCGGGCCGGGCCTCACCTCCTTCCACTTGAGCTGGCGGATGCTGATCTTCAGGGCGTCCAGGGAGGTCCTGGCCTTGGAGCTGTCCACGGTGACCGGCCGCTGAGAGCAGTACTCGTCCGCCGAGCGGCCCGAGCTCCGCCGGCAGCCCCGGCCCTTGCTCCGGGGCTTCCGGTGCGGGCAGAGGCCCCGCGCCCGCGCCGGCTGCGGCTTGGCCAGGGGCAGCGTGGGCGGCGGCCGCGGGACGACCCGGGCGTCCCCCTCCTCGGCCGCGCGGGGCTGCGCTGGGGCCCCCTCCCCGGACTGCTCCTCCGGAGCCTTGTGCTCCGGCTCCCCGGCCGCGCCCGAGTCCACGCCGCCCTGCTCCGCCGCCGGCGCTTCGGCCACGGCCACCGCCTCCGCCTCCGCCTCCCACCTGGCCGCCAGCTCCCTCTCGGAGCTGCCCCGCTGCATGGCGCTCAGGGTCGGTGCCAGCGCCAGTGCCACCGCCGCCGCCGCCGCCGCTCCGCCGCCCCGGCCCGCGACCAAACTGCCGCCGCTGCCACGCGCTCCCCGCCCGAGCCCGTTGCCATGATCGCTCAGGCTTCGGTTGACAAGGGCAGTCGCCTCCTCGGGACGGGGCCCGGGAAGGGACAATCACCGCCGGAGCCGCGGCGACCTCATAGGCGACGGCGCCCACGTGATCAGGCCTGTCACAGAGGCGGTGGCGGCCATCTTGGAAGAGGGCGGAAAGCCGCCTGGGCCCGCCCGCCCGGGGAGACGGCGCTGGCCTTCTGAGGGCGCAGAGCTTGGAGAGGCAGAAGATGAGGTGGAGGTTACGAAGGTGCTGGGCGCTTGTGGGGCTCCTGAGCCCGGAGGCTGCGGAGGACGGACGAAAGCCTCAAACAAGAGGCCCACTTTCCCCCACCTCCCATACACAGTTGCTAGAATAACTCCCTCGGAAGGAGGAGACAGAACCTCGCCCCGTGGAGGGAACTCCACCATCGGGAAGCACCTCAGTCTGATGAGGAACAGGCCCAGTCCAGGCCCTGGGGCAGCAGCTATCCGCTGAAAGAAACACCTGCGGGTCCCGGGAGAGCCCCAGACGGAGAAGGGAGACATCTTTCCCTGCTCTCAGAGAACGCCCCATGGGATGGAGAAGCCCTACACGTTCCCAGTCAAGTTGAGGGCATTAACACCGCTTTTCTTATTATGTCTTTTTTTTTTTTATTATTGTGGTAAAATGAACATAAAAGTTACCACTGTAACCTTTTTTTAGGTGTACAGTTCAATGGCATTAAGTACATTCGCATTATTTTGTAAAAACCATCACCAACATCCATTTCTGGAACTTCATCTTCTCAAAGTGAAACTCTGTACTCATTAAACCATAACTCCCCCGCCTCCCTCCCCCCAGCTCCTGGCAACCACCCTTCTACTTTCTCGCTATGAATTTGACTCCTCCAGGGACCTCATTACACACAAGTGGAATCATACAATATTTGTCCCTCTGTGTCTAGCGAATTTCACTCAGCATAATGCCTTCACGGTTCATCCATGTTGTAGCATATCTCAGAATGTCATTCCTTTCTAAGATTGAATAATGTTTTGCTGCATGAATCTACCACATTGTCTGTACCCATTCACCTGCTGGCTATTGAGAATAATGCTGCTAGGAGCATGGGTGCACAGATAACCTTTTCAAGTCCCTGCTTTCATTTCTTTTGGGTTGCAATATATCTTTAAAGCCAATCCAAGGAGAGGGTCCCCCCCCCTCACCTTAGGGAGCCACATTTATTTGTTTTTGTTTGTTTGGAGTTTTTTTTTTTAGGGAATGCAGTTGGGAAGGTGTAACAGCACCCCAGACTGAAGACAGTAACCGTAACTGCACACCGGTGGCCCCTCTTTCTCACTCATCTCCCCTGGTCTCTTGTTTCTTTGTTTTGGCCCGGGGATTCCCTGTGTAAATAAACTGCCTTGAAATGCACCAGTCATAAACTCAAGAGGTCCAAACGTCCTTTTAGCAGCAGAGGGCGCTCTCATCTCTTTCTCTGGAGGCCACCGTGGTTTATTTCAGGGTTTAAGTATAGTCATGTGACTGCCTGTACCTGAGTTATCTGGGGTGCTTATTTAGAATGCAGGTTCCTGAGCCCCAAACCCAGAGATTTTGATGCAAAATATTTGGGTGGGACTGGGGGTCTGTATGTTAAATTAGCTCCTCTGCTGATTCGAAGGCACCCAGTGTCAAGAACCATTGATCTAGTCTACGTCAAGGCCTCTGGAGATCCTTGGAGCTGTCCGTGGTACCAAAGAGAAGCCCTCACCACCCCCCAATCTCTTTCCACCACCCTACTCACCCCAACAAATCCTGTCTCTCCTCCTCCATCCCCGGTCTCATCCAGGGGTACTGCCTTTATTCAGTCATCCATGCTTGAAAGTTGCAGCGCCTTAACTTATTCCTCTCCCCGGCCTCCTAAAATCAGTCCATCTCCAAGTCGTATACGTTTTACACTGAAATGCCTCTCTCATCTTTCCTCTCTTGTCCATCCTTATTATCCTTGTCCCAATTCAGCCATCAGCCTGGACCATTGCACCAGCCTCCTCATGGGTCGCCCTACATTGGACCTCATTCGGATGTCTCCATTTTGGATAAGCTTTCCTCAGTGCCCACAAGCAAAAATAGTTACTCTCTCTACCCTTCTACCGACATACATGATAACCCTCTACCATGTCTGTCACACTGTACAGAAATCATCTTTGCCCTCTCCATTAGACTGAGAAGGAACATATCTGGTCTGATTTATCTCTATATGTCATTTCCAGGGGCCAGAACAAAGAGGTCCTCAGAAAGTAGTGTGAATGCATACTTTAATAGTTGCTTTCCACTTCATTTGCCAAATCTGGAAAGGCCATTCCATGCAGATATATTCATATTCATTTGGCCTTGCATCTCAAAAATCTTCTGCCTCAGGGCCTTTGCACATGCCCTTCCTCTGCCTAGAACAGTCTTTTTCTAGAACTCTGCCTACCTCTCCTTCAGCATTTAGTGTAAATGATACATCTACAGAGATACCTCCGATTTCTCAATCTAAATCAGCCCTCTTCAGATGAAATCGCGATGCAAGAGAGAAAAACAGGAGGAATCACAAGGCAGGGTACAATTAAGTGCCAAATAAGGCAAGGAGTAAAAAAAAACTACTTAGGTAGGAGTTCAAGGAAGGGAGAATTTACTATGAATTAGAAAGCTAGATAAGACTTCCTATAAGAGATGGAATATAAACTAAGTCTTCAAGACGGAGTGACAATCAGATAGATAGAAAGTAGGTGGGGTGGTCATGCCAGAGGCTGTGGGCAGGGCTGCCATATGCAGTCATGCACGTGACCCAAGGGGCCTCAAAAGGGCTGAAATCCAACTTGTGCTCTGCCCACCAAGCCTCAGCCATTGAGGCTTTGTCCACTGGAAGTGGGCACCTTTGCCAATTGGTTCAAAGGCTCCCAGGGCTAGTGGAGGTCCTATAATGAGACAGAGGTGAGGAAAAGGCACAGTGCAAGTAGATTTAAGAAGTGGATAATCGTAAGTCTCTTTGGGACCACACTGGTTGAAACACTAGCCTTAGAGGGAGGGAGAACAGAAAAGAAGGCCCATTTGATTTCATTGTCAGATCTTAGAACACCTCCGTGAGCTCTGACTCCTCAGGGAACTGTGTTAGTGGAAAATCCAACCCCAAAAGGTAATCCTCAAAGAGAAGCCTCAGTTACAGCCGCTGAGGAGCAAACAGTAGGTTAGAATGAGGACCTGGGATGACTTCTCGAAAATATAAAAATGTGTCAAAAAGTGGATCCCTCCCATAGTTCTCTCCTTTTTCCTCACAGCACTCACCACAGCTTAGAGTGGGAGTCTCGCTTGTCTGTTTATTTGTAGTGGTCTGTCTTGCTGGCCAGAGTCCAAGTGCCAGAAGTAAGGAGCGTGATGTTCTTGCTGACCACTCGACCCCAAGGCCTAGTTCGGTGCCTGGCAGAACTGTTTCTTGAATGAACGAACGAATGAATGAATGAATGGAAAAGAAAACTCAGATATTCAACAATAAGGAAGTAGTTAAGCAAACGGTGGCAAATGCTGTCAATGACAATTCTAGCCACTTAGGAAACTGTTGATGATGTTAACATTAAGCAAACGGGTGCAAGCATTGCAATGACAATGCTGAGACACTGTTCTGCATAAACAAGGCCTGGAAGAATATAGAGACAAAGGAGAACAGCTGTGGATCTTGGTCGAAATTGGCCTCTCAATTTGGGTACACTGTGTCACCCTTGGGGCTCTTCATATCCTTAGACCCAGAAACCCATCCCATTTCTAGAGATTTATGCCATGAATCGGAAAGGCAGGCACAGCTTTCCATGGTGATATATTACCAGGAGCAAACCTCTCAGCCCCAGGCTCTGACCTAAGCATTTTACATACGCCGCATCCTGTAATCTTCACAACAGCCCTGGGATAAGTCCTGTTATGAATCACATTTTACAGATACAGAGAGAAATTTTTACCCCGAGAAGTCACTTGCCCAAGTCACACAGCCAGGAAAGGGTTCCAACTCAGCATGGCGTGACACTAGCACTCAGCTCCCAACACCCACACTCACCCCCACACCAGGACTTTGTGCACAAAAATACTCAACATATGGAAAAGAAGGGAAAAAAAAGAGAGATGAACCAAAAAACAGACTCTTAACTATAGAGAACAAACAGATGGTTACCAGAGGGGAGGCTGGAGGGTGGTGGTGAAGTAGGTGGAGGTGATGAAGAGAACACTGATCATGATGAGCACTGAGTAATGTAAGGAACTGTTGAATCAGTGTATTGTACACCTGAAACTAACGTAAGATTATATGTTAATTATACTGGAATTAAACTTTTAAAAAATTGTAAAACCAAAAACTAAAAAAGTTTTAAAAATAAAAGCTAAAAACATACTCAACATATGTTTATACGTAACTGAGCCCATATGTATTTATACGTAAATATATATACACACTAATCCTGAGCTATGTGAAAATTATATGCAGAGAAGAACGCTGGAAGCAAATATGCCAATATATTAATAGTGGTTATTCTGGGTGGTGGAATTAGGATGACAGATTTTCTTCTTTAATCTTTTCTATATTTTCTTCCTTTTTTTTTTTAAGTATACTCCATGTTCGGTGTGGAGCCCAAACGCAGGGCTTGAACTCACGACCCTGAGATCAAGACTTGAGCTGAGATCAAGAGTTGGCCCCTTAACCCACTGAGCCCACCCAGTCGCCCCTATTCTTTTCTATATTTTCCAAATTTTCTGCAATTAACATGCATTGTTTTGATAACTGGAAAAAATATAATTTTGAAATAAAAAAATGTCCTCTGATTGTTCTATCACCTTTACAGCAAGTCCATTTCTGGGGAAAGACATAGGAAGGAACGGTTCAAGGGAGAGGGATGTGAGCAGCTTGGACTCCAGTTGTTTCTGTCCTGTTAGTACCCAAGACCACCACCAGGTGGCGCAAGAGGTCCAGGGTTTTTTTGCAGAGGCTGAAGCCAGATGAGGTGCAGGGAAGGTCTACAGCAACCAGCATCTGAGTAAAACTGAAGGGCTCCTGCCTGGCTCTATGTGCAAACGCACTTTTGCACCTCGTGGCTTTTGCAAGTGTTGCTGTCTCTGCCTGGTGCATCCTCCTCTACACCCCAATGACCCCCTGTCTGGT